TTTCTTTCTTTCTTTCTTTCTTTCTTTCTTTCTTTCTTTCTTTCTTTCCTTTCTTTCTTTCCTTTCTTCTTTCTTTTCTCTCTCTCTCTCTCTCTCTCTCTCTCTCTCTCTCTCTCTCTCCTTTCTTTTTTTCTATCTTGGAAAACACATATGATGCCTCACCCAGGACTACAGTATCATGTAGATTTTATCTTTGTCTTTCTGAAGAAGCCTATTATATATTTGTGCCTGGTTGCTGGTATCAGGGGAGGCAGACAGAATCACTCTGAGTCCTTTCTTTTCCTCCTCAGATGGGCTATGGCAAAGCTGGCCAGAACGCACAAGGCCTCCTCACGAGGTTGTACAGCCGTGCTTTCATCATGGCGGAGCCCGATGGCTCCAATCGAGTGGTGTTTGTCAGCATTGAAATAGGCATGGTGTCCCAGCGCCTCAGACTGGAGGTGAGCATGCACAGGGGAAGGACACGGCATGACGTATAGAAAAGTCTATGAATGCCTGAGACTGGGATTAAGCAATCTTGGTTTCCCAACCAATGAGTTTCTATTGCCTTCAATATTATGATCTTGCCAGTCCTGCAGACAATTTATAAGGAGAATGATGTCATCATTGCATCTAAGTAATCTTGATCAAAACCTGATTTAAATTCTGCAGGCGGTTCATTCCTATGAATGTATTTTGGGAGGAAATTTATTATGTTTCAGGTGATATTCCTATATATTTGCTCACTTGATCATAGAATGCCTATTAATCACTAATCTTCTATCACGTTCTCAGGCAACTGAGAATCATTGCAAGGAGTTAGTGATTAAGAATGAAAATGCAACATTGGTCATGTTGGCCAGGGCTTTGGTAATTGTGAAAACTAGGTGACAAGAAAATGAGGATTCAATATATTATTCTGGTTGTGTTTGTATTGTTAATATTGGCTGGTGGGTTCTTCTCTGAACCCAGAAAGTATTACAAAGCAGAGAGTCAAAAGAGGACTGAGAGGGGCTGGGGAGATGGCTCAGTGGAATAAGTGCTTCCCTGGCAAGCGCAAGGGCCTGAGTTCAATCCCTGGTTCTGTCAAAAAAAAAAAAAGAAGGACTGAGACAAGAATTGGAGAGAAAAAGCAGAAATCATCATTTATGACAAAGTAACAGCAGAAAGCTCTGAGTCATTGAGCATGGGGGAGGGGACCAAATAGGTTGCCGAAGTGACTTTATTTGGAGACTTTTTTGTACAAAAGTGAGTATATTTCAGCTGAATTGAGGTCAACCTGCAAGCAGGAGCTTGCCTTAGAAGTGGGCCAATGGGAGTTCAGGGCATGTACCGGGCATTCTTTTATAAGCACCATTAATTGTAACTTTAAACAGAGCAAAGACATTCCATAGAGAGGTACTTATTTTGGGGCAAGAAAATCTGACTTATTCAGTGAGGTCTGAGTACGTTGAACCTCTGGTGTTCCATCCTTAGCAGCCATGTTCTTCCCTGAAATCTTTCCACCTCCCTCTCTGGAGGGGCTTTCCTTCTGGTCATCTGTCCCCTCAAGTAACCCTCTTTGTGAGGACATGTCCCATGCTCCCCTCTCCTCGGTGTTACTCTGAGAAATCCATCATCTTCCTGCAGGGTCCTGCTTATCCTCAACTTCATGCTTTATAGAAACTGATTGTTTAGGTGACTGTTGGGGAATTCTTGTCAGGTCAGGAAAATGGTACCCATGCCTTAGGCCCAAGAACTGAAGCCCAACCACACCAGCACACAGGGCTAGTGGTTCGTTCTCCCAAGTGTCCATCACCTCTCTGCTTCATTTCCCCACGAAAGGCATGCATGTGATGCTGGAGGAAGGCATGGGGCTTTTCTTGTCTCTCTGTTTCAGTAAGACTTTGAAGATTTCTGTAGTGAAGACTATAAATAGCAGTTCTCTTAATCTTTCAACTGTTATAGAATTTGCCAGATTTTTCTGACTTTCTACAAATTTAGACCCTGCTATCCACTGTGGGGACTGTTGAGTCTCGTAGAAAAGTACTCAGACAGTCCTGGTTGCCTTAGGTCTATGAAGACTGAGAAAGAGAAAGAGAGAAAGAGAAAGAAAAATAAAGGGAGAAGAAACTAGGAAGGGAGAGAAAGAAGCAGGCTAGAAAAAGTAAAAGACACGGACTTTCAGTTCTACTGCTCTGAGTAAATTTTGAGGCCGTGACGACGCAGTCCTTTTTCTCTGTCAAGGATCGGATCCAAGGAGTGAAGGTGCATCATGAATGTGCACAGATCCAAGACTGTGAGGCAGTGCAGAGGCTGGAGCCCTGCTCGGGACAATGGCTGTGCGTGTGGGTGTGCATGTGGCCCTGCCTCGTGTCACATCACCAGGCTGCACCTGCTGGGTGAAGGGGCTGGTGAGGTGGTGATGAGGGGGTCCAAGGCACTGCTGCAATATCACCCATCCTGGCAGTGATGAGGAAGGCTTTCCTATCTGTAGAAACAAGAGCTTTCTTCTTCTTACACTTACAACAAAGCTCTGAGGGGGTTTGCTGTTATCCTCATAGTATGGAAATAACGTAACTGTGTCTTAAGAAGGTCAGTGACTTTCCAAAATTCAGACAGATTACAGAACTGAGTTTTAAGCACATATGTACCTAATCCCAAAAGCTATATTTTTAAAAGAGATGCTATTTTTTAGAGGATTAAATGCCTTGGTTGGTTGCTTTTTGTAAGGCACTTTGTCATTGCAGTGGAGATGCGGCCACAGGAGCCATCCTCAGTGTCCCCCATGAGATCCCTATCTAGTTCAGGTGTAGAAGGGTGAACTGTAATAGAAAAACACAGATAATTAACTTTCTGGAGTAAAGCTCAGTGGTGTATTACTATTTTTAATCTATGCCAAAATATAGTGGCTTTGAACAACAAACGCCACTATACCCCACGGTCTGTGGGTGAGAATTCAGGACGTGGCTAAGTGGTTGTGCTAGGGTCTCTTATAGTCAAGATGGTGGCAAAGAATGTGGTCATCTGCATGTGACTCAGTGTGCCATCCTTGTCCATGGCTCCCCTTGGGGTTTGCTGGCAGAAAGCCTCAGTGTCCTAACTCAATTCCTTTCTGGGTTTCCTCAGAGTAGGTGACCCCAGAAAAAGAACAAGGAAGAAGTCATAGTGTGTTTTATGACTGTGATTCAGTACTTGTAATGATTCCATTAATTTTACCCTACTCTATTAAGCAAGATCCAGCCCACTTCAAGGTAAGAAATGTAAGCTTTAACTCTTACATTAGAGGTACTAGCCCAGAATTTGTGGACATCCAGTTTTCTAAGACCATCATTTGGTGATTCAAGAAATGGGATTAGGCAAGAATTTTTATAATGGAAGGGACTCCTGAGTCAGAATTTGAAGTAAAGTGGGGAGGGAGCGCGATCAGACTGCAGGGACAGCATGAACACACCGAAGCACAGAGGAGCGATATAGATTCTCTGTAGGGAATAGAATTCTGTTAGGATGTGCGGGGCACACAGTTAGAGATGCATATGGAAGGTGTGTATTGGTCATAATTGAGGAGGGCCTGGCATGCCCTACATGAACACAGTTTTGTTTTAGGATAATGGATTGGAATGCACTGGAACTAGGGAGGAAGGCACAATGAGTTAGATTCTTTAATACTGAGGCACTGGGGTGAGAGTCTAGTTAGGGAAACAGTAATAATATGAGGGACTTCAATCGAAGGGCATTTAATACAGAAGATTTGTTAAGGCACTGGACGTCTGAGAGAACAAACAGAAGCTAGGGCTGCAGGAAGGATTATTAAACATCTCCTGACAATTTTAGTTACGTCATTTGAGGTTGGCACGAAGGTCTTCAGTGGAACGGCAAGAGGCCTCATGAGAACAGGAGATGAAATTAAATGCTAATGAGATTTTTGGAGGAATAAATATGAAAGCGAACTCCTAGTACTCATGATGAGCCACTTGCTGTTTGACAAATAAACGAATATATAGTTTACATGTGCATAGATAAACTTATTAAAAACTTGAAACAACTCTACAGGGAGGAGTTCTAATACTATGCAATTAGACATTAGGAGACCTAGTTGAAGAGGATCCAGTGACCTTCCCCAAGTTACATAGGAAGAGACTGTTAGAATTGGTATTAAAACTTTAAGCATTTAAAAAAAATATATTTATTTAGCGCAGGGTTTACAGGGTCTCAATACACAGATCAGACTTGTAGTGATCCTCCTGTTTTCAGCCTCTCGAGTGCTGGGATTACAGGCATGTGCTGCCATGCCCAGTCTCAGCGCTGTCTCAGTGCGTCCCGGGGTGGGGCTGGCATGGCATGCTGGGGATCAAATCTCAGTCGCTGAGCATTTTTGATGTTATGGTTATTATCACTTTATTTTTCTGCTTTTACGAGAAATCAAAGGCAGCTCTGAGGAAATTCTGGGGACTTTAGAAGAAACAGAAGAATCACCAAGTATACTGGGAGTGGGATGAAGAAAGGAAGAAAGGTTTAACCTCTTTTCAGATGTTCACTGAATTACCCAGTCATGAACATCCAAATGCATGACTGGTGTTTTTGTCTAACACTTATACATTGTATATATGACATAGGTTGCATGTCAATGTTGAACACCACATGACAACTTTTCCTGTATTGGCCATGCAATCTGGGACCCAATGGGAAGGACTTTAAATTGGTTTAGTAATCCCAAGATATCAGAAGGGGAGGTGGGAAAAATAAATATAGCCAAATAAATGCCACGAAGTTCATTTGCAACAGCAGGTTTTGGGTGGATTCTTGGTTTCAGCTCTAAGGTTGATGAAATTTCCAGCATGGAATAAGAGACTAGGGAAGATCTCTGAGTAGAAAGGTAGGCAGGAAAACAGGATGACTTTCTAACTCTACATCATGCTCCCCAGAGTGACAGCAATAGGAAATGTCATGTAGACTGATACAAAGAAGGGAACTGTAGGCATTAATGTAACTGCTTTGCTTTGTATTAATATGCCCTTCTGTCATGAAGGGGAAAGCATGCTGTTTCTAATGGCTGTTTGCACATATGATTATTATATAATTAGTTTTTTCTTTTCTTTTCCCCAGAAATGCCATATGTCGATCTTCCTATCAGAGATTGTAGTTTAGGATAAGATTTCTGTGTGTTGTTTATAGATTTTGTCTTAAAATTCAAGATTCATATTTCCTATATGTTTAAGAACTTGATTCTTGAATAGACATGAAGAAATGCATTCAATTTAAAATCATGATATTACAGTTCTCTGGAAAATGTTTAGTGGGGCTAGGAGAAATTTCAAGTTGACTCATAGCTCTTTTTTCTGCTACTGTCTTGTTTTGGCTACAGAATTGTTTGAATATTACCTTTTCGGTTCAGTTCAGCTTTATGGTGTCCCTTCACTGATTATTTCTCCTTCTCTGTATAGCACTTTCTTCCTTATGAGTGGAGTTCCATGTTGGAAAATCTGTGGGAACGATAAGAACCAGAGCTGGGGTTAAAGGTCGACTAGAAAGGACACAGACACTTTCTGGGGTAGAGGAGCAGGAGGGCTGCTTGGTCAGAGCAATGTCAAATTTCTTTTCAAATTTGCTTAGCATCACAGGACTGCTCATTGAGATGTCACAACCTTAAATTGTCTTGTGGGGACGTGGAGAGGTTAACGAGCTGGATGCTCTATAAAATCTTCTTTTCCACCATCTGCATGTCTACAGTGAAGGTAGAGTAGCTCTTCAGTTACAGTAGAAGAGACTGAGTGGATGTCTTTATGTAGGTTAAATATACCTGAAATATAGGGGCTGCACCCCCTCAATGATGTGCTGGAACTGGGTTGTACCAGCTCCTGTGGGACAATTATTAAATATCTACAATGCCCATGAACTTGTTGCTAAACTCTTGATAGCTTGACATTGACTATGATGGGAGTACTACATTACAAATATTAGAAAATAATACAAGTGAAGGGATTTTTCCCTCAGAAAGATAGTTATAAGACCATGCCATACTCAAGGGAACTGTTGATAGTGTTTGCTCTGGGTTTGATAATTTTGTTGAATCATTTTAATGATCTGTCTTACAGCAGCAACAGTAATAGCAAACCACAGACTGTAGCTGATTAAAGCAAAACCAGAAATAGGTACTCATAGTTGTGCATTTGGATGTTCATGATTGACTAATTCAATGAACATCAACTATTTCAGTGGAGGCTTGTATTAGTTATTTATTGCTGCAAAATAAATCATCCTAAAGCATAGTGGCTTAAATCAGTACTAATCGTGTATTGCTATAGGTAGAAATTCCAGAGTGGCAGCGGTGGAGAATTTTGGCTTGTATTAGAATGAGGCTTGCGTTAAACTTTTGTGTCATGAAGGGGCAGACAGATGTAGGGTGGGGCTGCAGCTGCTGAGAGGCTTGGTGGGGCCTCAAGAGTCTGCTTCTAAGGTTGCTCCCTCATGAGACAAGCGGGTGTTGGTGAGATGATTCCTTTCTACGTGGCCGTCCTCCAGAATTACAGGGGTCCTTACGTAGGGCAGACCTTCCTTCTTGTATTTTTTACCACCTGGGATGCACTGAAGCCAAGTGAGGAGAACCAAGAGAAGAGAGGAGCAGCCAAGTGGAGCGAACCATTTGAAGGGAAGGGGTGCATCAGTAAGTGAACTCATCAGAGCCTCTTCTCATGCTGAGTTCCTCTGGTGTTCTTCCTTCTCCTCCCCCTCCTCCTCCTCCTCAGCTTCCTTCTCCTCCTCCTCTCCTTCTTCTTCCTAACCTATTGGTGTGATAGCCTGGGCCAGAGTACAGTGAATCCTTCTTTTTGCAAAAAGCAGCAGTCAAGGAGTGAAGGGGCCTCTGCAGAATCCTCTTCCTGCACCCGAAGCTTTCCCCCAGATAGTGCCCAACTAGCTTCTCTCTTTATTCAGGCCTCTGCGAGATCCTCTTTTCAGAAAGATGTCTCCTGACACCCACCATCTTTTTCTTTATCTAACAGGGCTTCTTCACAGTTTTGTTTTTAAACCACTTTATGGTATAATGTTCTGTATTTATTTTCTTGTTTATTGCCTTTATCCTCTGTTAGAGTATGAACATTTAAGGTAGAATAAAAACACCTTGCTATTTTCCTGGTGCTTAGAGCAGATGCCTGGATATTAATACTATGTGTTGAAGGATGAGCGGGTATGAACGTGGCCTTCATAGTTAGAGAGACTTAGATCAGTGGGAAAATGATTTGACTTCTGTGTTCAGCACTTCAATTCTCTCAGTTCAAAAATGAGTTTAACAAGATCTACTCCTTGGGGTTGTCTTACATATTTTTAAGGGACATAATATGTATAAAATACCGACCATGGTGCTTGCTCACAGCAGAAATCTATAAAACGTTAGCTATTGATGGTGCTGTGATTCTTGTATTTTTTACCACCTGGGATGCACTGAAGCCAAGTGAGGAGAACCAAGTGAAGAGAGGAGCAGCCAAGTGGAGCGAACCACTTGAAGGGAGGGAGTGCATCAGTAAGTGAACTCATCAGAGCCTCTCCTCATGCTGAGTTCCTCTGGTGTTCTTCCTTCTCCTCCCCCTCCTCCTCCTCCTCGGCTTCCTTCTCCTCCTCCTCTCCTTCTTCTTCCTGTTCTTTGCCCCCACCCCCTTAAAGGTCATGGACAGACTGGAGAGTAAGTACGGATCCCTGTACAGAAGAGACAATGTCATCCTGAGTGGCACTCACACACACTCGGCCCCGGCGGGATTTTTCCAGTACACTTTATTTGTCCTCGCCAGCGAAGGATTTAACAATCGCAGCTTTGAGTACATGGTCTCTGGTATCATGAAGGTAGGCATAGACTCCCAGAGCGTGCTGTTTAATATTCCTTACGAGAATTTCAGGGATGGTTTGTGGTATCACAGAGAAAGGCCTTGTAGGACCTGGGTGTGACCACAGTATTAGTGCTTGCCTTTCTTTCTCCTTCCTGCCTCCCATTTGTTTTGGTTCTGTGCTATGGACTATCAGACCTGAGGCATTGATTGGTTGGAAGAAAAGCCATGTTATTATCTAACGAGGCATGTCTTGAATATATGCCTCATAAATTATAGGGCCCCACATAATCATGCATAAAGTCACATGAAAAGGAACCACCAGGGAACTATAAGTAATTTTTAATAATCCTACTATTTCCTTGTACTTGCAGTTGGTAAACACACAGGTTTGATTCTCAAGGCCTGTGAAGCGGATCCAAGCCCCCCTGGGGTTCCTAACCAGCACCTCTAACTCCTCTCCCACTCCTGGCTTGAGTACTTCACACTCCTTTCAACCTTGATTTCTGCTTATTGTGTTTTTACCCAAGGTTCAAATTACCATTTTTCTCCATTCTCTGCCCTCCGGGTTTTACATCTCATGAAGTTCAGGGATCCAGCTGGCCAGGGCAGATTGTTCTTTATAGCAGTGTTTTCCATAACGTGGCCAGTAATCTGTCAATAGCTTTTGCAACGCATTTCATGGGTTGCTGTAAGTGTAAATACCAAAGAACTCTAGTATAATAGATCGGAAAATGTAGTACACAACACACAGGGAGAGTAAAGTTTATTCTGTGATTTTGTTTTTGCCCTCAGATGCATATTTGATAGTGTTCAATTGTGATCTAAAATATGTCACTTCCTGTGGCTCACCATCAAATACATTTGAAAAACTCTGCCATTGGTGCTGGGGGGCCAAGAGGGAGGGAGAGAGGGCGCAACTCTAGCCTGTTAGTAAATCTTGTTTCAATGCCATGGAGGTTAGGTCTCCCGTTTTGGTCACCTGAGATAGCCAAGTGGCAAACACCCCTCAGAGCCGAGGAGCTGGAACACTTCATGAGTTCGGCAGCTACTTAGCACCTTGCTTCCCACACTTTTCTGGTCCTACTTTGAAACCCCTTGGGTCTACTTCCAGGAAAATATGCCTCTCCAGCTTTTATCCTTTAGTAGAGGAAATTAACCACAGGGCTTTTCTGTTTATCTTGACTAAATCATTATCCCTATCAGGAGTCTAAACTTATAACTTCCTTTTTCTTTTAATTTTTAGAGCATTGACATAGCACACCGAAATATGAAACCAGGCAAAATCTTCATGAATAAAGGAAATGTCCTGGGTGTGCAGATCAACCGAAGCCCTACCTCTTACCTTCAGAATCCACAGTCAGAGAGAGCAAGGTGAGCGGAATTATCAGAATAAAATCAATGCATTTTCTTTGAAGTTTTATTGCTGCTTGATTTGTTTGTTACCCAATAGATATGATCATTTGAGAATGTGTTTGTCTAAGGCAAGCAGAGATGAAAAGTGAATGGAGGGCCAGGGAGATAGCTCAGTGGTCTAAAATGCCTGTTTAGGCAAGTTCAGAGACCCAGGTTCCATTCCTGGTACCACATGCTGCGCCAGCCCTGCCACCAGGGCAGGCTGAGCAGGCCACAAAAAAGAAAGAAAGAAAAGTAAAGGGAGAAGCAAACACCTGTTTTCTCAGGACTTTGCATGGTGCCGGCTGTGGGAAGCGGCGTGGGGATGGGAAGCGCCAGCTCTCAAGTCAGGCCCAGCAGCAGCCTGTGCTTGACTTTCCACCATCTGAATTTACTGTGCACGCTCTCCGCGTCTATACACTGGAGATAAAGATGTGCCTAAATGTGTCTTTGTTAAATTAATGAATATCTTTTATTCTGCCAAACCTAGAAGAAATTAGCTTAGTCCACAAGAGTGGGGGAAGAGAGAAAGGATAAAAGAATAAAGAGTTTGGAAGAAAAAAACAAGAAATAAAACTAATAAAACTAACTGGAACAACTAAAGATTATTATTATTATTATTATTATTATTATTATTTTGTTTTATTTTGTTTTGTTGGAACCAGGGATTGAACTCAGGCCCTTGTGCTTGCCAGAAAAGTGCTTATTCTACTGAGACATCTCCCTGGCTCATTATTATTATTATTATTATTATTATTATTATTAAGTGATGAAGCAGGCTGTGACAGAAGTGAAGTTCTTGGCTACCACAGCAGGGCACAATAATAATTTCAGTTTGACATTTCACATTTGTTCACACATTTTTCAATAGCTTTTAAAGGTGTTGCTATTTAAGAAATATATGATTTTTCTTGAAAAGATAACAGTCCTTAAATGTCAGTCTTGAATGATTTTAGCTTCGCACGCTTTCTGCTCTTTTTTCTTTTTCTTCCTTTTTATATATTGTAGTATTGGAGATTTAATCCAGGGACTTGCACATGCTGGGCAAGCAGTCTAACACTGACTGTAATCTCCAGATCTTTAAATGTACAGCCACATCTAGCTTTTCTTCTCTGTGTAAGATCCTCAGTTAAAATTTGTATGAACAGAAGTATCAAAAAGAGCCTTTTATAAGAAACATGTGCGTTATATAATATGACACATAATGCTGTGTTTCAGCTTTGGTCGGTTGACACAGGTGCCCTTTGATCACAGCTGCAAACTCTGCGCTTAGCTGAGGAATGAGATACTAGGTGCTGTTTATGGGACTGTCGCTTCTTGGGAGAATCAGGAAATCTCACTTACATGCATGCTTTTTGCCCTCCTTTTGGGGCGTGTGTGTGTGTGTGTGTGTGTGTGTGTGTGTGTGTGAGCTTTTGTTGTCCATCCTATATGTTGGCTAGTGTCTGACATAGACCTGAATAAGTGTTCTGCTTGTGTGCTTTGTTGACCAGGTATTCTTCAAACACAGAGAGGGAAATGATAACTTTGAAAATGCTTGATTTGAATGGAGCTGAACTGGGCCTTATCAGGTAATCTATTTTTTTTTCCTTCCACTTTGTATGCGTGTGTGTGTGTGTGTGTGTGTGTGTCTGTGTGTCTGTGTGTGTATCTGTATATGTATTTTAATTGCAGGGAGAAAATAGGCTAGGATAGTACCAGGTATGTGACAAAGCCCGGGTTACTACAGACTGAATAGATGTGCCTGGGATCTGACCTTGGGCGTGGTCAGCTGCTGCTGACCTAGTCTTTCCCTGTGAAATGGGGCACTTGGAGGACCAACCTAAGAGATCTGAGTGAAGAGTTCAGCGCAGTATCTGCATATGATATGAAGACTCAGAAAGCCTTAGTGCTTATTTCCATATCGTGATCACATGTGTGCCCGCTGTCCTGCTGCTTGCCTATAATCCCAACATTCAAGAGGCTGAGGCAGGAGAAGCAGGAGGCCACCTGGGGTGAAACAATGACAGCCTGTTATGAAAAACTTCCATATATACTGGGGGTTGAACCCAGCGTTTTTGCAGTGAGCTACGTCCCTAGTCCTTTTCTATTTTGAGACAGAGGCTTACAAGTAGCTAAACTGCTCAGGCTAGGCTCAGACATGGAAGCTTTTGGCCTCAGCCTCTCAGGTATGTGCCACCACATTCAGCTGATGCATATATTTTGATAAAATGAGAAAATAATCTGACCAATCAGGCTATGGGTTTAGGATTATTTACCTAATTTTTTTCTAAAAGGATTAAGTCTGGTGCGGGACGGTACAAATTAGGGCTTGAAGCAAGGCTGAGCCCACCTAATAGATGTAGATACGATTAAATTACAATTTACACAAATTTTGGTTTTCTTCTAAAGAATTGCCATTGGATTGATTCAGGAATTGACTAGGTGAGTAACGTAGTTCTAGTCACCTTGACCTGTGAACTTTCAAAGAATGCCAACATGCCCTGGGACGTGTATAACAGCTCTTGAGTGCTCCTCAATCGGGAATCTCATTAGCTGTTTTAAAATCTTGGGCTGTCCAATTCTTTCTTCCCTTAGCCTTTGGGTTCCCTTGGGTACCATAAGGCCTAAATATTTTACCTCAAGGTTGGAAAGATGTGCCTTAGATCTAGAAATCTTATAATCTCTGCCTGCTAGAAAATTCAGCAGGACGTGGGTGCCTTGGCTAGAGAGTGCCTCAGAGTGGGCACATAACATTATATCATCTATGTATTGTAAGACCGTGACCTGGGAAAATTCAAATCGTGCCAAGTCATGGGAAACACTTGCCACAAAAGATGACGACTATCTGAATCCTTGAGGAAGCAAAGTCATGTCAGTTTAGAAACCTAGTTGAGGGATTTTTAAAGGCAAAAAGAAGCTGCGAATCTGCATATAAAGGAACACAAAAGAAGGCATCTCTTAAATTTCACACTGAAAAACAACTGGCATTTTCCGGGCATCTGAGAAAGGAGTGTACAGGTTAGGTTCCACTGAGTAGATTGGCATGATTCCTGCATTTATAAATCTAAGGTTCTGTATTAGCCTCCTCCCTATTAGGCTTTTGAACTCCCAAGATCAGAGTATTGCTCAGGCTATTACAGGAATTATGGGCAATAATCCTTTCTTAACTTCAGGTCTTAAAAGGTATTATCTCTGGTAAGAGAGCATACTTGTATCTTTGGGTGCATCTGTACTGGAGCAGCTCTTTTTAAAACAATTTTGTTCTCATCTTTATTTATTTGGTATTGGGCCTCACTACACAGCTCAGACTCATAGTGATTCTCCTGTCCCAGCCTCCCCAGTGCTGGTATTATAGGTGTGTGCCGCCATGCCCAGTTTGGAGGCCAGCACAGCATGCCTGGGATTCTAGGTCTGGCATGGCATGCAGTACTGGGGATTGAACCCAGGTCCTTGTGCTTTCCAGGCAGGTGCTTAGGCTGCTGAGCTATTTTCCCAGCCCTGGAGCAGCTCTTATTGCCTTACCTTTTTTAAACGTTAGTTGCCCATACTTCAGCATTTATTTGTTTCCGTGAAGGGAGGAAGCATACCCTGACCTGGGTGCATATATATTACAGTATTTAAAAGAAATGAAATATCTCTCCTCAACAGGATAACTGGGCTTTCAGACATCATCAAAAAGGAATGTCCAAAAATAGTCATCCAATTGCAGCCTAAGTGAGAAATAGGCAGTTGCCTCTTCTCTGGAACTTCTTTCATTGAAATGCAGCAGTTAGAAAGAAGGTCATGGTTAAAAAGAAGGACTAGTGACATATACCAATGTCTAGCAATAGGCCGGTCTCTTCCTCTGTAGTTGTGATTACCCAGAGCTCTTCCCTGGAGATTACAGAAGGAGATGATAGTCTGGTCTGAAGGAAAAGGCAGAGTGCTCTGGGGTCCCTTCAGTCTTTTATTTTATTTTTATTTTTATTTTTTATTAATTTTATTGAGAAACAAATAGTAATGAGACAGTTTCAAACCAAATTGGTAGGACAGTTTCAATAATTAACACATTGCATACATTCTTCCTAGTGGTTAATTGCTATACAAGATGCAGACTTGATATCCTATTCACAAACACCATTAGAACAAATCCCTCTATTCATTAAGAGAACGTAACTATTATATCTATCCTAACCACTTCGAATACACAGATACAAAATGGACATTCATCTGTATCCCCCCTTTTTTTGTTAAGTTCCATCATTTAAATATTATAGGTGTGTAAACTCAGCAAAATATTCTAAAAGAGTTCAGTAGTCCATAATAGTATTGGGTCTTCTGCTTCACTGGCAATGTCAGAAATTGTTGACCTGAGTCCCCCACAGCTCAACATAATAGCATGGCTTTACTTCTTATACTTTGTTTTTATACTTTTCTGCTGGGTGGTTAAGACCAAGGTAAAGCAGGACCTATGCAACAAGAGTTGTAGCTTTTGGGTCTGATGAGGTCAGTGAAATCCCTTCAGTCTTGTTAGGCCAGCTGGGAAGATGAGGATGAGCTCTGGGGCCTTGGCCTCAGAGTGTAGCCTTGCCTCCAGTGACTACCTTTGCAATGGGTGGGGGGGATCATGGCATAGGGTGCCTCTTAAGACAGTCCTCTTAAGATGGCCTGTCTTTCTGTGGTTGAGCCTAGTCACTGAGCTCTTCTTGGAGCCCTGAGAATCAGACAGAGGGTCTATTCCTTTTCAGGCTACACCAAAGGCTGCTGCTTCTTTTTGGCCTCTGTTTTCTCTCCTTGGCATCCTTCCAGTCTCTAGTAAGGAAGCATCAAGTAAGCTATCTAGTGCAAAAGCTACCCTTTGTAACTTTTTCTTAATATATGGGGCTGACTGGGTAACAAGGAGCTAAGAGAGTATGCTTTACCAAAGCCTTTTATAAACTATCTAAGAAGGCAGAGGGGAATTTCATCCTTTTCTTGATAAATAGTTGACAATTTAGAATAATTGAAGGGCTTAGTTTTTAATCCTTCTTAGGCCTTCAAGGATACATACTTGACAATGTCTCCTTCTCCAATCTCCCATCTGGGTTTTAGGCTAGCAGGGGTTTTGAGCAGAGACTGCTTGGGCTGCACAGGAACTGGTTGTTTTCTGACTGTCTTCTCATCTTGTAAAATGCCTGTCTGTCATTAAAAGTCAGTGTTTGCTTTAAGAATACCATTTCATCTTTCCAGGCTAGTTTATAGGTCTTAGTAAGGATTTCAATGTACTTACCAGAGTCATCTGAAAATTTTCCTAGATCTAGCTTATTCTTTTGGTCACTGAGAGAAAAAGACACATGAATGTAGGTAGTCTCATATGGATTATAATTAGACTTTGAACATAAATAAGAATTCTTACTGTAAGGAAAGTTCAAACATAAGGCAATTTTGACCATTTTCATTCTTTCTACAGTATGGTTCTAGCTAGGAGAGAGCATTATAATTAATACTTCTCTTTGCATTTTACTTTGGCTCTAGAGGGTAGGCAGGCCATGCTCATGTGCAGAAAAATATCAAGCAATTCGTTTTCAGAATGTGAGGACCGAACATTTTCTAGTACTTACGACTATACTCTACCCAGGAATCTGACTCATCCACCACACAGCAAGAAGCACACAGTCCTGGGCAATGGCCTTGACCAGAGGAACCCTGGGTAAATTCACTATAACAAGGGGAAACACTTTATATGCAAACATCTAATTTATGGTTGGTTCTGTTATATAGCCGTAAACTTTGCTCCTGTAGTCTAAAGTATAAAATCAATAGCTATCACAGTTTGTCAATTTCTAAACTTTTCTTGATGCTATCAGTATTGCTAACTATACTGCTGTAGCTAGGGTGTCATATCTATTGTAATCACTTGTTCTACTTTGGGTAACAATATTGGGATGCTCTGGGGTAATAATCTCTTCATAGCCCTACACCTAAAGAGTAAGGCCAGAGTCAAACAGAAACCGACATCCCATTTTCAATTAATTGAGAAGGTAGGATCTTGGGACAGACATGAACCAAGATTCTCCAACACAGAAAAGATACTCCTGAAGAACTGATTCTTACAATAGAGGCTTTGATACTAATGATATAGCTACCTGCTACCAAAACACACAAAGACCACAGAAAACAAAATACAAAAAATTTTTTAAATAGAAAAGGACAAAATAAAGGAGAAAAATGGCATATCAGACCTCCGGACCACTCAGAACTAGTCCAAGAGACCTTGTACATAGAAAAAATTGGAAGTCACACACCTGAAATTTCAGAAACAATATCAACTAAAGTAAACAGACCATTACTTCAGAATATAGAGGAAATCAAATCAGAAATAATCTCTCTGGTTAAAAAAAAAAAAGATAACCATAATGAAAGAATTGTTGAGAACACTAAAGAAGACATAGATAAAAAAAATAGAAGAATATGGAAAATGATGGAAACTTTGGATGAACAATATAGGAAGGAATCAGAATGCATGAAACAGACTCAAAGAGATGTTCGGGAATTAAAAATTCAACTGAGAACTGGAAAAACCACATCGGTGAAACTAAAGATAATCTTTCAGACATTGAAGACAGCATTG